TTTTTTTTTTTTTTTTTTTGGTATTCCTTTGTTCATAGTAGCAAGAATAGCAATAATAGTAAAATTTAGCAGTGAGAAGATAATAGTTATTAAATTGTGACCCAAAACTATTAAATTTTGTTATGTATTCAGTACTATTGCTATTACTGTAGATATATTAGCCCATATTATTTTTATTTTTTTTGCAGAACCAGGGACTGAACTCAGGCCCTTGTGCTTGCCAAGGAAGCACTTATTCTACTGAGCTATCTCCCCGGCCCCCATTAACCCATATATTATTGAGGAAATGTTTTTTCAATAATTAATTTTATCTTATTTTATTTTGAAGAGTAAAAACAGAAGCAAAAACAAATAGGCAAAAGACAGAAACAGGTTAACATACAGCAATGCGGATGTTACAAATTTTCAAACTGGAATAGCTAATTAAAATGGTTGTTATATTATCTATTTTTATCATCAGATCTGTTACTCAGCCTAACAGATGTAGTTATACAACATTGGGGAGATAGTGAATATTGGCACGTGCGTTCAAGAAATCTTAATTTTTTTCCTTGTATTTTTTGTTCTAATGTGTTTTAGAGAGTATAATAATTGATAAGATATTAGGAATGGTACACATTTAGAAGATCAAGATGAGAGACATTCATCTTAAAAAAAATCTTTTTATTCTTTTACTTATTTATTTGTATGGTACAGGGTCTTACTACACAGCTCAGATTCATAGTGATCCTCCTGTCTCAGCCTCCCCAGCGCTGCGATTACAGGCATGTGCTACCATGCCGGGTTTAGTTTAAAAGTTTAGAAGAACGTTGAAAAAAAAAAAAATGAGGACATGAAAACTACTCCAAAATTAAGGGGGTTTTGTGTTATATAATGCAATCCTCGATGTAGTTGCTCAGATTGCAGATACCAGCATACAGAGTTAGTCAAGTTGAAAATTCTAAACATTAGCTGCTATTTTCAAAAAAACTGATGGAAATTATGAGTACAGTCATCTCAGCCATCCTATGTATATACTTGCATGTTTTTCCCTCCTTCCTTTTTCCCTATCTTTTCCCCTCTCTCTCTTATCTTTATTATTAATCCTTTTGTTTTATTGTACCTATACCACCCTTGAACATGCCTGATCTCTTTTGATCTTGGAAGCTAAGCAGGGTCGGGCCTGGTTAGTATTTGGCCTGGTTAGTATTTGGTTAGTATTTAGCTCAGTTTCTTCCTGACTTCAGATTGGACAGGATCTGGGGTCCTTTGGTAACAAGCTGTATGACCTTAGGCGAAGTAGACTGGCTCTAAACCCCAATATCTGAATCCTTAAAAGGAGATGCTTGTAGAATCCAATGTTGTCGTGAGAAGCAAGTTAGATGTGAAGCCCAGTCACGGAATGTTTTGTGTCAGGAACTCTCTTGGCACTTGTGTGAGTTGGCTTTGCAGGGGTTGCCTTCTAGTACCATTACTATCATTAATTTAATTCTTATTTTCTAGCTCTATGTTTATGGACTTCTTTAAGAAGCCCCAAAACCCCCTTAATTTTGGAGTGGTTTTCATATCCTCATTTTTTCCCCAAAGTTCTTCTAAACTTTTATTTTTTGAAATCTGAAAAACTTAAATAGAAAGTAAAACTCGTCGTAACCTCCCACTATAAAAACATAAAGTAAGAAATAAACTCTTTGTCCCAGCTTCTAAATACTAAGTAATAAGTGATGCCAGTTGATCACCCCACCCAGCTATCTATCTACACGGACAAAGCAGACATTGTTATTCAGGGATGCTGGCCATTACCCAGGGTGGGACAGAGTCAGGCTACACTGACTTAACAGGTTCTAACTGAAGAGCAGACGTCAGCGGGTAGATGGCTGAGGATGAGGAACCTAATGAGCTATAGGGGTAAAGAGGTGAAGGGCGGGGATTCTTCCTAAACTGACTCAGCAGGGTTCTTTGCTAAAATTGGTTTTGATAAGGAAGTGTGCAGATAGGCCCAGAAGACTGAGAACTCGGACTACAGTTTGGTCAAAGGATCTTTATCAACCCAGCTATTCTTTCAATGGCATCATTACTGGTTATATCACGCCGAAGGAGACAGAGGATTCTTGCCTTCATGCAATGTATATCCTAGCGAAAAGAAAGACAGAGAAGTAAAGGGAAGCGGTTATGACTGAATTATGAAATATTTCCCCTGACTTCCCCTGTACTGTGGGCTTGATCCCCAAGGCTGCAGTGTTGAGAAGTGGGGCCTAGAGGGGCGACTGGCTCACAAGGGCCCTAACTTTACTGAGAAAATTAAGCCACAGATGAGGTATTAATGGGCTGGTATTATTGGGAGGTGAAAGGAAGAGGCCTAGTGAAGGGGGCCGATCACAGGGCCATGGCCACGGGGACTCTTACCTGTTCCTTGGCCCTTCCTCTCAGACTGCCTCCCCCTCTCTCTGGTCCCCGGATGCAGCGGGGTGAACGGCTTCTCCCCCCACCCCCCACATCCTCCTGCCATCATGTTTCTGTTTTTGAGCCTCCTACCCCAACCATGATCCGAAACTGCAAGCCAAAAAAATCCTCTCTTCTCTGAAGTTAATTTTCTCAAGTCTTTGGTTACAGTGGCAAAGAGCGGGATCCCCAGGAATAAGGAGGAATTCAGATAGCACTGAGCAGGGCAGAAGTGATAAATCGGGGTGGTTGGGCGGGTGCTGGGGTGGAGGGCAGGTTGGTTCCCTTACCTGAATGCCGACGGCTCCTCTAGACCCTGCTTGGGATGTGTGTCTAACCCTTTGCTGATGGTTTCTCCCAATCCTGAGTTTCTTATGGATCCATCCCAGATGGGCAAAGTCAGCATTTCCTTTGTGATTTTTATTTTATTTTAAAGAGAATAAAAAATAATTTTGAAAACCCACTAGAAACAATAAAGAATTTTTAAAAAAATGATGAAAATTCAACAATGGTTGTTGTACTGTATATTGTCTTCAAAGCAGTTGTCCATGTTACCAGGCCTATGCATACAAATTGTTTTTAAAAATGGTGTTTCCTTTGGAAACAATGGGGACCACAGAGGCTTTGAGGCAGGCCCAAAAATATTTCTTCATTGAACACTACCCCATTTGTCTGTCCTATCATTTTGTCCCAAGCCTTAAGCTATAACCTTAAGGGTGTTCAGTAAACTAAACTAAATGGCTTCTTGTAGCTAATCTGTACCTCACCGTCTGAAGATAAGATTTTAGTCCCTTGAAATATTGATTTCCAAGTACATAGATTCCTGGGAAGCATATTTAAAATATGAAAGTCAGGCCAGCCCTAGGTGGTGAGCTCAGGAAAGATGCATTGTCAGCAGATGGCAGGGGTGATTCCGATGCGAACTGCCCGTGATAAAGACGTATGGATGGAGGTGTGGGTGTGTTGGATGCTGTAGTTGACTTTGTGGATTAAATAGGGGCAGGTTGGTGAAAGCGTTAGTCTGACAGGAGCTGAGGGTCCAGGTGAATGCAGGACAGAATGGATAGTGTAAGAGCATGAAAAAGACTCAGACAGACGAGTAATGGATGAATAGTGGCCTTGCAAACTGTGTGAGGGTGAGAACACGAGATTAGAAGGCAGCAGGGAGGCCATTCCCCCTCCTAGCTCCATCGACAATTACATCTTAGAAGCTTGGTTACAGACGGATCAATTCCTGAGGACCATCTGATTTTAGTATTCTCAGTGGACCTTTCAGCCTCTGTGCATTTTAATCAATGGCTTTCTTTGTTTGCTTCATTTCAGAAACTATAGATCACAGATATTTGACCTTTCGTTTCCATGGAATGTCATCAGGAATGACATAATTCTTTGACATGGAAGCTCAGGAACCCAGAAGCTCCAGCTTCTGAGTGGAGACTCATTTCTTGTTTTCAAAACAGTCACAGGGAACGGCTGGGTCTAAAGACCATCATAGAAATGAAGGGTCTTTGACTGGGGAGATATACCAGTAGTCTAAGTGCCTGCCTGACAAGCACAAGGATCCGAGTTCAATTCCCAGTACCATATTTTGTGTCCAAATGCAGACTGGCCTTCTGATTATCCACACTCAGAACTACACTAAACCAATCAATTCACTAATCTACTTATGAGGCTGATGGGATAGCTCAGCTGTCTAAAGTTCCTGCTTAGACAAGCTTATGCAGCCATGGGGGACTGCAGTGCCATCCCTGGCACCACATGTGGTGCCAGCCCCAACCTCAGGGCAGGCAGAGCTTGCCATCCCACCCCCCCTTAAAAAAGAAAAAGAAATAAGGGCTCTTCCCTTGTAGTAGATAATGCCACCCTAGTTCCTGGAGATCAAGGTGCTTGGCTTAACACAGGCATTCGATATTTATTAAGCCCAAAGTTCACCTCCTGGCTTTCAAGTAACACTCTCCATTTACAGTGGTACTTCATGCTTTTGCCAGCAAGCTGCGTGCTCTGAAGGTAAGCGCTTGCCTCTGTCTGGCGTATTTGACTTGAGCTCACATGCATTTTCTGGGGACCTCTATAGCTAGTGTTCCTTGGCAGAGAGCTTTGCAAACATTTCCCTCCATTCCGCACATTTCTTGACCTAGAGAAGGAGGAAAATTGAGCAGCACCACAAACAGCTCACATCTGTGTTTCTTCTGGACATCTCTAAAGGTTGATTGGTGTTAGGGAAAGAACTGATCTCTTGGTTTATGAAGATAAATACTTTTTGGCTTTACAGGAAGGGGATGCTGTTCAGGTGGTTTTTATTTATTTATCTATTTGTATTTTTTTAATACCAGGAATTGAACTCAGGCCCTTGTACTTGCCAGGCAGGTGTTGCGCCAGTGAGATATCTCCTCAGCCCCATCCTGCTCAGTTATTTGCAACTTCAATAACAAAGTGGTGGCCCCTCAGACAATCTTATTAATTTATGAGATGTTGTGACAGTGGGGACACAAGGAAAATGTAAAATGGTGGGAAAGACAAAAGTTTAATGATATTTCAGAAGGTCCATTTCAAGATTTCCAATGTCTAGGAAAGCTGTCCTCAAACAGAGCCAGCCTGTATCCCTTGGAGAGGACAAGAGATGTTCCAGGTTCACGTTCATCAGGGAAGAGTAACTGTGCTAATGCAATGACTTATCACTGTCAGCTACAAATCAGTTCTTTCAGAATAAGGTTCCTCTTGAGAGACCACTTTGCTCATAAAGACAGCTGCCAATGGGCAGCTTAGACCTAACTCATTCAGCATGGGTAACAGAGGGGGATGGGGTCTATGTGTGAAAGTAGAACCTACACAGAATCTTTTATTAGAGGTCAGAAAGCTAATGGTCCTGATAGGAACAAGGAGGGATTTTTAACAGTGTACATGCACACATGCTCAAAAGTATAATCTACATAGCAACTTGGTGAAGATGATGTCTTCTTGTTTAAACCTTGATGTCCAGGCCTGTACAATGGGAATAAGCCCCTGAACAAGGGCTTAAGCTGTAAGTGGCTAGGAAAACCTTAAAGTCTTCTGTAGTTGTGTGTATGACCTCCAACTTCTCTTCACAGGTTGATCCAGGCATAATAGAAAAAAAGTCTATTTAGACGATGTCTCTTTCTCTCTTGACTCTCTTTATTCCTGGAGCCTACCTAGGAAATTTATGTTCTCCGTTGACTTCCTTACAACTATGCTTATAATTTTACCAAGGTAGCAATCTTTCCCAAAATATTTTTATTTCAGTTAGTAACTGTCAGTGTGAACAGATTCAGGCCCCAGTTATACCAGTGGATTAAAAAAAAAAAAAAAAGACAAAAAAATACAGAAGTGGCCACAATTTTTTTTAAAATTAATTTTAGTGAGAAACAAATAGCAATGAGATAGTTTCAAAACCAATTAGTAGGACAGTTTTAATAATTAGTACATTGCATATTGTTGTCTTCATAGTGGTTATTCATAGTACAAGATACAGACATGATACCCTTTCCAAACACTATTAGTACAAGTCTTTCTTCTCATTGAATTAAGAGAAAGTAGCTGTATATGTCCTATTTTGTATATACAGATACAAAATGGTCCTTCATTTGTATCCCTTTTTTGTTCAGTTTTGTCAGAGATGGGTATTCCATGGCCATTTAAGTACATTAGTTGTGTGAATTCAGCAAAATAATCCAATATAGTCTAGTAGTCCATAATAGTAGTGGGATATCCATAGGACTGGCAATGTCAGAAGTTGTTGACTTGAGCCTTTTACAGCTCAGCATGCAAAGAATAAACTCAAGGTGAGAGAGAAAACGGTTAGCTTTCCCAAGAGTGAGAGCCAAAGTAATTTCCAGCTCTCCATAAAATAAAGACAATATAGAAATATAAAATAATTATATGGGATAAATTGTCATATGATGACTTGTCCTCTCCTTATCTACAAAGGGCTATGATTGCTCACTAAAGGGAAAGGATTTGGGTTGGCAGGGGAAAATTCCCCCAGCTGAGGAGTTTCACAGACCTGTGGCTGTTCTCTGACTTCCTGGTTATGTGGCCTTGGGCTGATGATTCAGCTTTTCCAAAGTATAATTTTCATTTTCCAAATAAAAATAAGGATACCTAGATATTGGGGTTGTGGGAAGAATTAAGTGTAGCTCAGTATGGGACTCTCCCACACTGAAACCCAACAAATGAGGACCAACAGTCCTGCTAAAGTGGTGCGAAAATGCTTTCAGGCTTAGAAGTCATAAAACTACATTTCTCTAAATGTGCTCTTTGGCTCAGATGGTTTTCTTGTTTTGGCAACTTGCTCTCTCACTCTCTTTCTTCCCCTTTCCATCTCTCCTTTCAGTATATTCCTGGCCTCCCAAAGCACAAAATTCAAGTGTACATGCCCCAGTGTATAAATTTCAAAAAACCTCCAAAAGTTATTCTCAAATTTCTAGAAAGGAGCTGAAGAACCCAGAAATCAAACAAAATTTGCAAAGACACAACCCATGTGTCTCTCAACTTTCAACCTGCTGGTTACCTGAAAGATAATAAAGCTAAAAGATGGTAAAGTGCATCTCCTTTGTCCTAAAACTCACCTGGAAGACAAAGGTGGCCTTTGGACTTTGCATCAGAGCAAGCATCATAGATCCATAAAACAGACTTCCGTTAAGGCAGTTAGTTTGAAGTAAAAAATGATATCCATTGAATCTCATGATCTGTTCTCACCTGCACTCTTTTTAGTTGTTTTTTTTAAATTAATTTTATTGAGAAACAAATAACAATGAGACAGTTTCAAACAGGTTAGTAGGACAGTTACAGTGATTAATACATTGCATATTGTCTTCATAGTAGTTATTCATAGTACAAGATGCAGAAATGCTATCCTGTCCAAACACTACAGAAAAGGAAGGATTTCCCTCAGCGTGCAGTGCATACAAAGGCTCAGATTTAAATTTGGAATCCCATAATGCTCTCTTCAATGCTGTTTTTCTTTTTCTTTTGTTTTTCAGGTACTCTCCCCTGGGTATCGCCTGCCTCATCTGTGGGAAGATCATTGCCATCAAGGACTTAGAAGTGGTTGCTAGGCAACTGGGGATGTACATGATAACAGTGATTGTGGGCCTCATCATCCATGGGGGCATCTTTCTCCCCTTGATTTACTTCGTAGTGACCAGGAAAAACCCTTTCTCCTTCTTCGCTGGCATCTTCCAAGCTTGGATCACTGCCCTGGGCACTGCTTCCAGGTAGAGAGTACAATCACCTTTTTCCCTACATGAACTTTTGCTCTGTTTGCTACTCAAGATTTTCCTATGTTAATGTTCAGTGAGAACACTGTTCACATAGTATTACAAACTTTTTAAAAAGGTGAATTTTTGGCTTCTTCTAGGAACTTCTGAGCCTGCTGATGAGCATTTTTGCTGGTATGGGACTGTGTTGTGACTTATGCTACATTTTTTTTTGTTTGTTTGTTTGTTTTTTGGTGGAACCAGTTTTTGAACTCTGACCCTTGCGCTTGCCAGCGAAGCGCTTAATCCACTGAGCCATCTCCCTGGCCCCTTATGTTAAATTTTGAAATGAATGCATGCTATTAAGTTGCATGCTTCACTTAGTTCATAAACTATTAACTTGGTTTAGCTTTAATTTTTTTTATCCAGAATAATGTAACAGGATATTGTGCAATTAACATCCCACCCATGATTGGGAAAATATTATCATCAAATATCACTCTATGGAGATTAATTTTCCAAAAGTAGGAGAACCAGCTTTTACAGGGTTCATGATATGTTAAGTGAGATTTTTCAAACAAGTAGAAGCGAGCCAAGTCTTTGACCTTGGCATGAACTTCTAATGGGGCCGTCTGTCCCAGTTTCATTTTAATCAAGCTTATTTGACTTGACCTTAATCGGGAGTCAGTTCCTCCTTCATAACCTAGTTTCAGTGACTAGGCAGCTAACAAAGACCCAAGATGTATGCAAAGAAAATTATTTTGGGGTCCTGGGGATTAAACCCAGGGCCTATACACTGAGCTACACCCCGACTCCTTTTGTTTGTTTGTTTGTTTGTTTGTTTTAAAATGGGTCTTGCCAAGTTATTCTGGCTGAGATCAAATTTGGAATCCTTCTGCCTCAGCCTCTGAGAGTTCTGGGATTATGAGTGTGATTCATCACATTTCCACTAATAATTCTTTATGGACCAAAACTAGCAAAAGTAAAACAAAGAATAAAGAAATACACAAGCAATGCCTGGCAATTTAGAAGCTGAGAGAAGCAAAACATTTTATTCATTCATCCGTCAGTGTATTATCTCTGCATATTTATTATCCCTGGGTCACAAACCATAAGACATGTGGTAGAGCGGTCAACAACTATAACACCCCCAGCTCTGCTCCAAGGCCATGTGCTTGCTGAGCCGGTCCTGTGTAGCTAGTGAGCTGGCCCTTTGTGACAGTGTGGCCTGCTGCTCCTAGGCTAAACAGCTTTTCTTAGGTGACCTAACAGACCAGCAGTGGTGACCAACTACAAACCCAAATCATGACTTCCATCTTGCAAAGCAATGAGAAGTTGATACTAACAAAATGCCTTTTATTTAAAAACAAAAAAAATTCCAAAAAACATACAATCTTGAGAACCCAGGTTTGGCACCCTGTTTCCCAAGATTAGGAAAACCACATTCCATATACTTTCAGAGAGGTTTTTTGTTTTTTGTTTTTCTGGCTCAGTCTGCTGTGAGGGCAGGGCTGGCACCTCATGTTGCGCCCGGGATTGCACCACAGTCCCCTGTGCCTGCCTAAGCTTACCTAAGCAGGCACTTTGGACTGCTGAGCTATCTCACCGGCCCAGATTCTATCTACTTTCTATGGCTGAGTATCTCTATTTACAAAGCTCCTAGAGGAAAACTAAGCCTTTGCTGTTCAGAACCAAAACCAATCTTGTTTACTTTTATTTTTGTTTTCTCATGGTAACGTGGTATTTGCTCATTGTGATGAAGTTGAGACGGCAGATAGGCTTTTGAAGAAGACAGTGGACAGGCATCACTGGTTTAGTTACTGTTTCACCAAATGATAATTGATAGTAATCTTCTAGCTAGTCTTTGTATATCTTCCTAGTCCTTACTACGTACTTTAGGAACTGCTATTTCTTCACTGTTCGATGTAAAGAAATTATATTATAGCTACTAATGTGGAACTTTGCTATTGTTTTGCTAACCCTACAATAGTATACAGTGTGTACTGTGATACGAAGTCTGCCCTAGAAGTGAATAAATATATGAAAAAATGCTTCACATCCCTAGCCATTCATAAAATGCAAATTAAAACCACATTGAGATATCATCTCACCCCAGAAAGAATGGCTATCATAAAGAAATCACCCAACAACAAATGTTGGAGAGGCTGTGGGGAAAAAGGAACCCTTCTCCACTGCTGGTGGGAATGTAGACTGGTGCAACCGTTATGGAAATCAGTATGGAGACTCCTTAGAAAAGTTGGTCTGGAAATCCCCTTTAAACCAGCTATTCCTCTACTGGGAATTTTCCCAGAGGATCTGCCCTAGTCCACCCCATGGGGCACAAAGCATGTCTATGAAAAGCACAGCATCCTCATAGATACATCTCTACACAGTTTTCTGATCATCTTCCTAAGATAGAAGTGGAATGTTTTAGTCAAGTCGTATGCACAGTTTTGAAATGTGTCATCACATTGCGATTTAGTACAGCACATAATTTTATGTTCCCCTTGGGTCTGAAAGCGAGCCCCTCCCCATCTGCTCACCAGGGCTGGATATTGTGGACGTATGTCCATTACTTCAGTGCATTCCAATCATATTGGTAAAAATGTATCTAGTGAATTTGTACATCTCTGATTACTGATGAGGGAAAACATACTTTTGTGTTCTTATTGATTACTCTTTGCCCTGCCTCTTGAATTATACATGAACCAGCTTATTTTCCTTTGGGGTATTCATCTTTTTCCTGATTCATTCCTGCCTCAAAGGTGTATGACCATCTTTAAATGTTGGTAATAATATCAGATACATACATAAACCTCTTCATATATAAGAATATTAACTCGTATGTCACATGTTGAAAAAATGTCCACAGTTTCCCATTTGCCATTTGTCTTAAACATTTAAAGTACTTGTGCCACTAGAAGTTTTTAATTTGTCTATAATCAAGACTGTGGATATTTTCCATTGTATTTATCACTTTAGTTTTGTTCAGGCATACTTTTTTCACTCATAACTGTAAAATACTACTTTATTTTCATCTAGAATCTGTGATTTCAATCTTTGAAGTATTTCAATAATATTATGATGTTCTTTTGAATGATTAGACCCAGTATATATTTAAGACAGTGTAAACTGTTAAGGGATGTGGTTGATACATCTTGGTATCTAAGTCTAAGACAAATGCTGTGTTCTTTAGTGTAGGTCACAAATGTTAGGCATATGTCTTCTCTTACTTTGTTTAGCATTTGAAAAGGACATGATTTTTAAAAATTTTCCCATAATTTTATTGACAAGAAAATAGCAATGAGACAGTTTCAAACCAAATTGGTAGGATAGATTCAATAATTAACACATTGCATACATTCTTCCTAGTGGTTCATTGCTGTACAAGATGCAGACATGATATCCTATTTACAAACACTATTAGAACAAATCCTTTTATTCATTAAGAGAATGTAAAGGGACATGATTTTAATCTTCACTTAAAATATGATTTTTGTCTTGATGTAAGATTTCCTTTTAAAAAAAAATCAATGTGACAGGAATTATATATCAACAACCAAGAATAAACTCTGGAGTTCCTTGCCATGATGGAAAAAAAAAAAAAAAACATAGGGTCACAGGGGAAGTAATGCAAAGTGTAGGTCATCCTCCTAAGTACCTTTCTTCCTCTTTGGGCCTCAGTGATTGAGGATATCCAAGGTGTTGATTGGCTCTTCTCAGTTGGTGGAGGGGTGTGGTCCCGAACATACCTCTGTGCATCCCTCTGACTTCAGTGTGTGCTGTTCAAACTCATCTGGCAAAGAAGAATCTCAGCTACTTGACATCATTATTAGCAACATTTGAAGATGATCATATGGTCAGGGGCTAAAGGAAATGCCAGGATGTTAGCCTGTCAACACAGGAAAGCATTGCAATTCTCAAGTTCAATCTGAGTTGAGTGGGTAATGTGAATTTGTAAAACACAAATATTACATCAATCCAGTATAGAAATACACATTAACAGGCATAACCAAACCTTGCCAATCATTTTCCCAATCTCTGTCTAAAGACCTTTGGAAGATGTATCAGAAATATGAGTATACTAATAAAAATGAATGTATTTTGGTGATGCCAGAAGTATGCTTAGAGTCATACAAATAAAGCTTTTAGACAGTCATAGTGTCCTGCCAACCCTTTAAAAGAGTCCCAGAAAAAGGTAAGGGAAGGAATAAGAGGAATAAAGAAACACTAACTTCATAGTAGAATGGTTGGGACAGCAAGCCAGATCCAGCATCATCTATATACAAATGTACCCCATCTTTTTCACTTAGGCTTACAAGCTTTTACTTCGGAGAGACTCCCAAATATTATTTTCATCACCCTGAGTGCAAGAAGGAGGCATTGGGCATACACCTGACCTGGAGTCACCAAGACTGTTTTGGTTGGATGATTCAGACTCCCCTAAGGATGCTAGAGTTTTGCGGATGAATTTATGGTGCAGATTTGGGCATCCTCGATTTTCAAGCTTTGAGCTTCTTAGTTCTGAGATGACCCTGGAATCTGCATGGCACTTAGCTGGGTTTCACTTTTTTTTTTTCCACTTTGAGAAACTGGGAACTTTGTGTCTGTGCCCAGCCTGGTTAGAGCCCCCAACCCTAGGCCCCAACTAGTAGAACATAGAACATGGTAACTAGAACATAGAACATAAAACATAGAACATAGAACAAAGTAACTATGGTGAAGGCTATGAGTGCAAGAGATAAAACACCTTTAGTGCTATCTGCAGTAGAGCTTTTCCAATTTGTCTTGCTAAGACTTGAATAGAAAAAAACCAAAAGCAAATACACCACAGGGCACTTCCAAGTTACTTGAGAATGCTTCATTGTTTTTTTTATTTCACTCAAATCTACTCAACTTCCTAGGCACATCTGTCCACAAGGAAATAATATTCTGGCTCTAGCAACCCTTGTTCTTACAGGTCCCTCATCCTAGAAGACACATGGACATGTCAGGAATCCTAGGCTGTGAGGGAGGGCCATGTGGTTTAATCCCCAGTCCTTACTGTGTCTTTCATTAGCTACAGATGACATGCTTTTCTGCACCACATCATTATAGAGACTTAGAGCTAGCACTGGCTCTCTATCCAGGATTTTGACTACCTGTGAGTTTCCCTGTCGAACTGTGTGGGGTACTTGCTAAGGTTACTGGACTGTTTCCCTGCATTCTCCAAAATAGCAGGTCCAGCTCAGGGAAATTTCCAGGGGCCGGATGTGAACCATGGCAACGTCATTTTGTTGGAGATGGCATTTCTATCATGAAGGTCATTCAGAAATCCTTCTTTCCATTTTATGGTTGATGGCTGATCCTTTTCTGACACAATGTTGGGTATTTTTGCAGCCTCATTCATATGAGCATTCACACGTGTTTCTATGTTTAATCCAAGATGACAGTAGTGACCCAAATAAGAAGGGAACTTGAAGCTCTGAGTAAATCTCATAAGTCAAGCAATGAAAATATTTTTTATTGCCCATCAGCATCTTAATAAGATTGAATTTGAGTCTCTAACTCTCTAGATTTTAATTTGGATGAATACTGTTTCACTGCATGTAACATTGCTTGATTGGAACAAAAGAACAAAAATTTTGTAGTGTTATTCCAGTTTGTGCTTTGTTCTTCTCCAAAACAGACATAATCTCTCTCTCTCTCTCTCTCTCTCTCTCTCTCTCTCTCTCTCTCTCTCTCTCTCTCTCTCT